GATTTCTCAAATGTTCCCTAGATCTTCCATTGTTTGGACAAAAAGGTAGTCCCGCCCCAAACTCACACTATTGGTTGAGTGTTTGTTGTTGTCTTGAGATCAAAGGGGTCAACGTTTAGCATAGATATAGATTATAATATAATGAAATACTAGCAATATACAATACCATTCAAAGGTTTGGGCTAGTAAGATTATCACATGTTTTTTTTAAATAAGTCTCCTATGCTCAACAAGCTGGCTTTTATTCAATATTAAAGGGGTCATATGATGCTGCTAAAAAGAACATTATTTTGTGTATTTGGTATAATGAAATGTGTTTATGCGGTTTAAAGTAAAAAAAAAAACACATTATTTTCCAAATACTGTACATTATTGTTTCTCCTCTATGCCCCGCCTTTTTGAAACGCGTCGATTTTTACAAAGTTCATCGGTCTGAAAAAGCGAGGTGTGCTGTGATTGGCCAGCTATCCAGTGCGTTGTGATTGGCCGAATACCTCAAGCGTGAGACGGAAATGTTACGCCCCTCACCATACTGTTGTATTCCCTCAGCGACCAGCACAGATCAGCTCTAGGCATGACGAAGCGAATATCGTCCTCTTTTGGAAGACCAAACAAAGTAGTTTCGCTTTCACAACGAAGCACATAGCGTCTTCAGGATATGGCGGCGGCAACAATACTACAGTGAGAATAAAAGTTACGCCTTCTTTCTTTGCGTGAACATTTGGGTGGCGTTATGCAAATCTTCCCACAGAGCGACGTAGGTATGTTGGGGCGTGTTAGAACGAGCCGTTTTAGGTAGGTGTGGCTGACTCTGAACTTTTATAAAGAATATCTCTTTGGATTTGAGACTTTAGTCTTTGCAACTTTACAGATCTTCTTTATGCACCAAGAGCTTGTAACACTCCAAAGAGCATCATATGACCCCTTTAAATACAGTACAATAATAGAATATTGTGTAACATTATTAAATTAACTCTTTTCTATTTTAATATATTTTAAATTGTCATTTATTCCTGTTATGGCAAAGCTGAATTTTCAGCATCATTACTCCATTCTTCAGTGTCACATGATGCTTCAGAAAAAATTCTAATATACTGATCTGCAGCTCAAGAAACATTTCTTATTATTATCAATGTTGAAAACAGCTTAACTTTTTTGTAACTTTTGGAAACTGCGATTCAGGCATCTTAGGTGAATAGAAGGTTATGATGAAGAGAAGTCTTTTGATCAGTTTCATGCAACCTTGCTCAATAAATGTATTAATCGTATTAATTATGTTAATATATCTATGCAATGTGTTTTAATTTCTTTCAAAAAAAGAAAAAAGAAAAGAAAAATCTTACTGACCTTAAACTTTCAACAGTATTACACATTACTTATATTTTTTTCCTATCTGCTGCATTTGTTTTGACTCCAAAAACTGTATGTTTAAGTATTTTAATAGCTAAAAATTACACACACCACATCAAGGATTAAGCAAGTTGGGAAAAAAATGAACAGCAATAAACTATGCATAATAAAAAACATAATTTTATCATAATATTACACACAAAACAAATCCAAAAATAAAAGAATTCACAGATAAGACGGTGTATGAGAAAAAATACTTCATATCTGTCCTTTGAGTGCATACCCCAAAGAGAATAAAGTTTGGCTGTAACCCCTGACCTTTTCCTCCTCCATGCACTGCTTCCTTTTCTCCTCCACGGCGGAACGACGGAGCATCTCCTTTTGCCGCTGCTCCTCCAGACGCCTCCCTCGCTCCACCAGCGAGCGTTCATACTGCAGCTGTGCGCGCTGCTCCTTCTCCAAGAGAGCTCGCTCCCGCACAGCTAGACACACAGTGGGGGTGGACACAGGTAAGTCTATAGATTGCCCTGATACGGGAAAGGCCAAGCCTCTCCTTACCTGCTGACAATACTGATTAATTTGTGCTAAGCGCTTAGTGGTATTATCAGAAGTCTTCCACCATCGGATTCAGTGATGAATGGAGCAGTAGTCTATTGCCCTGGAATAACCCTCTGCTTTAACTTATCAACAAGATTGTCATGAAATCCATTTAGGAATTAAACATGGTTCTAAAGCAGGCCAATGTTTTAGACAATTTTGAAAGGAACATATCATTTCGTTGTTGACAGTAATAACTGAATAAAAGACTTGCAGCTCACCTTGGCTCTTATCTTTCTCCTCTCTTCTTTCTTTGGCCAGTCGAATTCTGTCCTTCTTCGAGCCTCCATCTTTGCATGAGAAAGGAAACAAATGTTAAAATGCACATAAACAGTGAACACACCTTTAGGAGTCCGTGCAATCTTTTTCTTGTGTAACCAAATATTCAAGCCCCTAAATGTCTATGGTGGTTATAGTCCTGAAAACATTGGCTTTAATTGTGTAATGGTATGCAAATATATGCAAAGTCAAAATGCTCAAAGGGAACACAAACGCGATTTTTCGTAAAGTGATTTTCCACTATTCACAGCAGAGCCGGTGGCACAGTCTGTCAGATCCCTGTTAGCTTCAAATCTAAAGCACATTTGACAAAGCACATTTTTATGCTTTGTTTTTAAAGGAAAAGGCATTTATATCAGACAGTATGAATTGTTAAATCATTATAGCAATCTTTCAATAATAAACATAAGAATCTAATATATAAACCCAATATCAAACTCATTTATTCTGATGTGTCTGTTAAAAAAGAGCTATAAATAGCTTGCAGTGCAAACCAGGGCTAGTTGTCACATAGAATGTATATTTGTCTAGGGATGTAATGTAAATGTAAATAACAAAACTAAATTAACATTTTAAAACAAGCCCCAAACCAAATAAGTAACACAAATAAAAGAAATATATTTATATAAACAAAATAAGGCTTTGTCTGTGCTCTTTCCATTTAAAATAAGAGGCAATCATTTCCAAACAATGATATAATTATGTTTAATAATCATTAAACATAATAATAATCATTATCCAAACAAAGATGCTGCTTACATGCAACATGAGGCTTTTTTAATCTAAATTACATTGTATAATTTCTAAATTTGAAGCAAAAACAGAATGGTTTGACTTCAGTTTTGTGAAACTATACATAGTTTCTGTTCTGCATGAAACAGAAACAGCAGATGAGCTTTTGTTTAGCATCTCAACCGATTTGAATCGTCACATATTTGAATCGATTTTCAACCGGCTCGCGGTTAATCGTTACATCCCTATTTGTAACTAACAGTTACTGTATAAGAGTTTGAGTGCAATTAGATGCGTTTTCTACGGCAGTGATTTTGTACGTTAGTTTCAAATATTTTTGTAAATGGTCTTAAATTTGAACTTCTGGACTGTTTTAAATGCTACACAATATATTAATTTGTCTGCTAAAACAGTGGTTTGATAATTTTACTGTTTCTTGAATTGTTTTATGCTTCATGATCGTTTTACTGTGTAAATTTAGCTGAAAAGCCTGTAATAGGCTTCATAATGGCAAGTACAAATTTGCGCCATGTAATGTAGTCTAACAACATGTCCCGTCACAAAAGATCAACGTGGTTTAACAACCTGCATCTTTCTTTCTAATAACAGTGTAAATGTTCAATAGCCTTTTTTGTGTAGTAAAGAGTTTAAGGTATGTGTATGAATAGAAATTTTACCAACTCTGAGAAGAATTTACTGGCATAAACAGTGTGACAACTAGCCCCGGTCTTCATTCCCTATATGATAAAGTCACACCTTTTTAATAATAATAAAAATAAAAACATATTTAAGGGTTAACGCTACGCACTCTTCACCTGGACAGGTCAGTCTTTGGTTTCCCACCCTCCTCTCACCTCAGCAGCCTGTTTCCATGACAACAGCTCGCTTTCCCAGTTATCGGTTCCTCAATACTGTCAAATCCGGGTGAGGCTTCTTTTTAAAGAATGAAAATATAACAACATAACGTACCTGACAGGTTTTCCACGATGGTGGCCATTTCCAGTTGATCTATGGGAGTTTTCCAACGATCAATATCCAGATGACATTCAGTCTCACTACATTTATTTATCAATCACTATTTAAGTTGAAAAAATCAAAACGCGACGAAAAACTAAACAGTTTCACCTCAGATTTTATTCATCCGAACACAATCTCGGTCTTCGACCAGATATTACTAGCGAAGGCTGAAGGCAGAGCCACAAGAGCGCGAGGTTCTAATAAATTACAACACGCTCGACCAATTGCCGCGTGCCGAGCGCACGCGCGCGTAAGCAATGCACCCACGAGCAACGCATTACGTCATAGTTTACATAGCGCTATATATGGAAAGCTCAGCAGCTGAGCACAGAGCAGAAATTCCCATTTATTTCCCCTAGAGACGTTTAATTAAACGTGCATGGAAATATATAACCATAGCCTACTTTAGTGATCACAAAGGGAAACACAGGATGCCATTTATCTGGCATTGTCTTATAATTGAGAGGTAAAGACTGCTCAAATATGCAAATATCTGCCTGGATTATGTCTGACCTAGATATATGCATGCACAATGTGAACAATCAGATCCTCTAAAGACTATTTCTAGTGCAGGCATCCAGTTAGAGAAGTGTGTAATTCAATTTTTTAGTAACAGACAATTTTAACCACAAACCAAATATGACATTATGGAACATATGGGCTATTTTCACACTACAGTATTGTCCTCCAAGTCTGTGTTAACATCTGTCTGAGCATGTAGATGCATGTGCTATAGGCTACCTTGGTTTTTCACACTGCAACACACGTGATGGGGCAAAACACAGTGACTAATATCACTCAAGCCTTTGGCTAGACACACACTTACTATAAATATACCGCATTTTTTATACCCACATAATCCAAAACACCTGCAACAATAAAGACAATATATTACAAGATTGTACTTTTCATAAATACTGGCGGTAAAAACTGTTTTCCAACAAAATGAAGAAACCTGGTGGATAATAAATAATAAAAAAAATAGGACAATGACTGATATTTAAAAGGCTTAAAATACACATTTCTAGGATTTTGAATGTTGAATTTTATTTCAAAATCACAGGTTTTCTGATCAAAAGCAGCAGAGGACAAAAAGCAACCATCATAAGCTCATCAAAACAATACACCTAAAATTAACAAGTTATAACCAACAACCACCATGCTCATTCAAAAGGGCCAGTCTGCAAGAACACAATCAATAAACTCTCATAATTCTTGCATTGATCAGCCTATTTGCATTTCGCACACAAAAATACTTCCTTATCCTGGTTATTTGCTTTGTGAGCTATCATTTTAGAAAGTAAAATAAAAATGTTTCCATTTTCATCTTACAAATATTTCAGTTGCTGATGTTTTCTGTAGTTTAGTATCAAGCTATTAGGTTGTAACTCTGAGTAACAACTGTGAAGTAATACATAGAGCTTCAAGATTAGTTACTTTCATAAATTCAGCAGCCCTGCAAAATGAGTATTCAATTGTTATCATCTGAAGTAGACAAAAACACAAAAGAAAATTAGGATGGATTAAAACAAAGAGCTAATCAGATAGGCTTTCTGAATAAATGCATCATCCAATGCATCACTGTGTGGTCAGTAAATTATAAGAGACTTCAAAAACATTCAAAAAGACAAGAGGCGCTCTAGAAGTATCAGCTTTTACCAAAAGAGTTTCACTCACCTTTACAGAGCTTTTAAACATGTCTATTAGGATACAGACTGCAAGACCAAACATAAAATTGGTTATCTTTTTATTGCGAATCCATAGATTCTGTACTGTAACTAAATTCCACTTGATGTGAAATCAATATAAATACATTAAAAGATAACAAAATGGATTGAAGGTGACAATGCAGTCATGTGTTTAGTCAGAGAAACCTAAAACTTGAGCCTCCGTGTACATAATGATGGAGGGGCTACTTCAGGGGGGATGTGAGGCTGTCGTCGCTTCGGGTTGAGAAACATTCACTTCCTAGCGTTTTCCTCTTAGATCTGGGGAAGGAACATGGTATTGTCAGAACAAAACCCTGATTGATGCACTTACTACTTACATCACGTCTCCATTTCAATTAATCAAAACATTGAGTTTTTAAATTAATCTTAAGATGAATATAAGAGTGTTTTAGTACTAACATCATCAATGTCCTCATCGTCATCACCAATATCATCGAACTGAATCTCGTCGTCATCACCAGGCCCGAAGGTATCAGTCTCGTTGATTTTGGCTGCAAGGCACCAACAGTAAGAATTTAATGCCAAGGCATTTAATACAGTGCAGCAAAAAGATCAGCATATTGTAAGCCAAGAACCTCCATTCATCAAGAACCAGGTTTTTCAAAATAAATATACTCACCGTGTTCTGGAAGCTCTCCATAGGCTTTCAGACTCCGAGCCTCATCAGCATTATACTTCAAAATTACATCTGCTTTGTTATCCTGATAAGACATTTCAGAATTTAAAACGTCAGATATTCACTCCAATAAAAAGCCTGTGCATAAAAGAACTGTAGTTTCATCAGCAGCATGAATCTTATTTTTAAACTGAAAGACTAAAGCTTTTAAATGGCAAAATACTTTTCCAGGCAAACAAATGACATTTATATTTCATTCCTAATACATTTATATTTAATTATATTAAAATCACAAAATATGATTATTTGCTTTGTATATAGCTATATTAGTATATAATTAATTATATTAAAATAAATATTTAAACCTGATAACTCCTTAATCCAGTGAGTATAAACAATTCTATTTTTATTACATTTTTAAAATAGTATTACAATACATATTTATTTATTCACTTTTTAACACCATGCCAGCATCAAGGCTATTTTCAAGGCGATCACTACATAAATGATACAAGGTATACAATTAACAAAATGTTACAATACATAATTATATTAAATATTGAACATACCTGGAAGTCAATTATTATAGCAAAAAGTGTGTAAATATTAAATCATAATTAATTATAGCTATATTATGTATAATATTACATGAAATTATATATTAAGAAATATTTAACAAACCTGGTAGTCCCTTAATCCAATGAGAATAATGTCTGATGTGTTAATCCACACCTAAATTAAAGAAAAAAGACATAAGACCTTGAGTAAGACAAACATCTTAGTAATTATTCCTGTTAAAGAATAATATAAACACAGCTAAAAAAACAACAAAATTCATTTCATAACATTTTGTCCTTTGCTAAAATTTTCCAGCATATCAAAATTTCCATAGCCAAAATGAGTTACATTAGTTAGCTTCATCAAACAATATTGACTGATTGGCTGTGTGGACCGACAGAAATGTTTAGACCAATCTCATTCACAAAGTGATGGAAATGCTGAATCTGCATTCAGTCTGAAGCTTCACAGACTGGATCTGTAAAGTGCACCTTTTTCCGGAGCTTTCCTCGGATGTGACAAAGCCGCTTGACTCCATCAAAACACATGGCCTCCAATCTCCCATTTCCCAACATCTTGATGACCTGAGCATATTCTAGAAGACAGAAGAAGCTTTTTAGAAGAAAAAAATGATACAACTAAAAGCAGATCATGTTTTGAAGAGGCAGTGCCCTACATCATGAACGCTCGTTTTAAGAGTATTACAACACACCTTGTCCATCCTCTTTAAACACCAGCTCCCTTTTCTCAGATTCATTCTCATTCTTACCACGTCGCCGATTCTTTCCTCCTTTTCCTGGATACAGAGAAATAAAATGCGCTCAGATACCATCATACACTTGGAAAAATGCCATCTTATGAACACACTACAGAGTCCTATGACAATAACGAAGTGTTGCCTAATGACTGAACAAAGTACACACATTCAACAGAATACCAATTACAATGACATCTTAAAACTCTTGTTAATTTCATGTGTATTTATTTAACTTTAGAATGTACGATCCCCTTTACAAATATTAGCTTAATAGTTAAACCTAATAATTTATAAGTATGTAAAGATCAAAATACGTTTAACAGGTCCGCTACTATCCATAAGTAACGTTACCTGCCTAACACAACACATAGCGGCCAAACGCATCCCTTACATTACCTGACAGGAGCTTTTATTTCATATTATGAACCAAAATGCATCAAATACAGAACCAAAAACAAATTCAACTGCCACAATTAAACATCAAACACTGACAATAAACTGCGACATTCAATATCACGCGCAATAACTCACGTTACCATGTGTGCTAAATTAAATGCTAACATCTCACAAGGGTATCTTTATATACCACCTTACCTTTATTTTTCGGCATGTTCTTTAAACGACGTCGAAGGCTCTCGTATAATGATCAGAAACTTTAGGGAATTATAACAATATGTCAAATATTTTACTTCTCAAACGTGCTGCTGTGAGCAGATCAGCGCCGCTATCGAGGAAAGCTGAGAACGACGCATGCGCAGATCGCCTCTTCTTCTTCTTTTTTTTGGCATCTGCACTTATCAGTGTGCATTACTGCTGTCTGCTGGTGACTCGGATCAGAAACATTTTCCTTTTTGAGGAAAGTTTATGAGGAAAACAACAGAGTCCCTTCTCCAGAAGCCCAAGTAGCGCTTCGTGTTCATCTCCTCTGCTTGCACCTCCAGCATCATGCAGCCTATAGAAAGAGAAGCATCTCTGCTAACATCCATATTAATAAACTTAACTCTGCACTTCCTCTTATACCACTTCCATACCTGTCCACATACATACATCTTGCACACTCATACCTTTATATTTCCTATATACTTCCTTATTTTATATTCTATATATTAAACCTGTACTTTCTAAGTATTGAATCAATGCAGAGACAATATTATAACCTATATCTGAATCGAATATATTTTTTAATGTTCGCAGATCGCCTCATTCAACAGCGCAAAACTTTATTCACAACCGCAACCAGCTCAGGAGCTGATAGAATATGAATTTTTATAGTAGTTGGGCTACATCTACAATTTATTATTATCTAAAACGATACGATATGATGATATTATATAAAATTAACATGATATATTAACTAATTTCTGAATAGTTCAGAGGAACTAAAACATTTTTAAGAAAAGGGAAAAAGTACAGATATATTCTGTAAAGCTAAAATATAGATGCAAACACGGATAAAAATACACTTGAAAAGAAAGATGCGCTTGATAAAAATAAATTTAAGATTGAAAAAACAAACTAATCGCAATAAATTTACTAGACCTCCTATCCGGTAGGTGGCGACAGTGTCACAATTAATGTGTGGCATCAGAAAAAAACAGCATTGCGGCTTGTTTTGAACGCCTTTTCTTATGCTGTATATTTAAAAGGCCTTAAAGTGGAATTTTCTACTATGATCAAGGGATTGTAGGCAATCTAGATGCAAATAACAGCTTGTTCATATAGTCTAAACATTCCATATTAAAGCTCAAACCAGTTACGTCGTAAACATGCTGCATAAATGTGTGGTAGGTGGTTGTCCGAACCGATCGGACACCATTATTCATTACATATTACCCGAGGATCCGAAAAGACGCAGTCTGTGGTTAAAGTTTATCGAAGACAGTAAAGGTGATGGGGAAGACGCAACCTCTTCATGCCGAGTGTGCGGGGATCATTTCTCTGAGGAGAACTACTTCAAAATGGATCTGGGTTACGCCACATGCATGATACTGAGCGTGGATGCTGTTCCTACAGTACAAGCTGTTAATCGATCACCTGAGCCAGAAAGGGAGATACAGGTAGGACATTAATTTTGTTTATTATATATAATAAACTTAATATATAATTACACTTAAAGTACAGTTACATTTATTCTATATATAATATATAAATGAATTGCAATTAAATATAATTAAACAACACTATGTTGAATATATAAGCATATATAGATCAATTGTACAATAAATTACATATTTTAATTATACATAATATAATTCAATTTAATTGTTTTGTATATAATATATAAATTAAATGTAATTACACGATATAATTAAACATCAATATTCTATATTAAAATATTTATTTTGCTCATATGTAAATGACACCATTTATTATATATATTATATAATTACATTTAATGCACAATTAAATTGTATGTAATATGTAAATCAAATGTAAATATGTACATGTTCTGTAAATATGTAAAATGTCATTTTGTTTATAATATATAAATGAAATGTAATATGTAATTATATATAAATATATTAAAAGATGTTATGTCACTTTGTCATGTTAAAATGTTATATATATTTTTCTTCTGTAAATTACATAAAGCAAAATATTACATATAAATTACATTTATTTACATTACATAAATTACATATAAAGTACATAATTTATATATACATAATTACATTTAATTATGTTATATGTAATTTAAATGTGTATATAGGAATGTAAACACATCTATCTATCTATCTATCTATCTGTCTGTCTGTCTATAATAATATGTAATACTATATTATGTTGTATCTGACAGGAAGCAGAAGACGATAGTGTGGAAGATGACACATGTAAAATCACCATTTCTGAGGCCGTTTCACTTGCTTGTGTCAAAGAGGAGCCTCTTGAATATGAGCTGAGTACCAACATGACATCTGGACAAGAGCTGAACTCCTCACGGGATGAGAGTGTTAAATATGAAGAGAGTGAGCTAGCCGTTACTGAGGACGGCATCTCGACTGTAATTTTCGGGGTTAAAGAAAATCATGCCAGAAAGTGTATCAACTGTCTAACTTGTGGCCAGAGGTTCCGTAGTAGACGCACCCTAATGAAGCATCGACGGGCTAATCACGCTAAAAATAAAACCGAATCTGAAGTCAAAGAAAAGTTTTATATTTGTTCAATTTGTGGGGAGAAGTTTCTTAAAATGGGTCTCCTTTTGCGCCATCGAGTCATACACACTAAGGAGAATCCAGAAGGGAGGTTTGTGTGCCAACAGTGTGGAAAGGGCTTCCCCCATCAAGCTTTTTTGAAAGCTCACCAGAAAGTTCACGAGGATGCGGAGTCGACCACGCCGTTCACATGCCACTTATGTCCCAGACGTTTCGGCTACAAAGTTGCTCTCGTTGCTCACATGAAACATCACTCATCCAAACTCACATGCATCTGCCCCATCTGTGAAAAGAGCTATCAGTACAGAGGTTCCCTCATTCAGCATCTCAAATCATCTCATGCTGGAGAGAAACTCTTGTGTAAGACCTGCGATAAGGGTTTCCTAAGAGTCAACGGCTACGTCAAACACATGGACAAACACAACGTGATGACCCCGTTCTACTGCGACATCTGCAAAATTTATTTTTCACAGCGAGGCTACACGGCACACATGGCCACCCATGAGCAGAAGAGCCTTTCTGAGCAGCAGCCTGATGAGTCTGTTGAGAACCAGCCAAACGATACTGAAATAAGTCTTGTCAGTGTGAATAGCTCTGAGGAAGGAATGGATCCAGTGACTGAGGCGGGAAGAAGCTGAGATAGAGCTGCTCAGTGAAGATGAGATGGAAGTTCTGTCTGGGAATTCAGTGGATCCATCAACAGTCGAAGGTGTGGAGTCTGAAAATGTGGTTGTGGAAAAGGAACTTCCCCAAGATAATCATGAAGAGGAGAAGAAGAGTGAGGAAAGCTCTGGCACACAATGAGATCTCCATCTAAACAAGAATTTTAAAATGAACTGCATAGGTTTTTTTTGTTAGTTTTTTACTTCTTTTTTTTTTTGGCTAACCAAAGGTGAAAACTCTTTTTTTTTTTCTTTCACTAGTTAGGTTTATAGTTAAACCTAAAGGCCTAATTCTGTTTAAATGTTAGTTACATGGTCAGTTAAACTAAAAATTGTATATTGTAGGCAGATTTCTGTATTTCTTTTTACAGAATATGTAACCATATATTGTACGTACATTTGATTATCTTTTTATCATGTAGAAAATGTAAGTCTCTGTGGTGTTAGTAATAATGTTTAGCTGCTAATAATGTTTATACATTCTACATGCATATTTACAAAGACATATTACATTATAAGATGCTTTTCTTAAAAAACAGTATTAAAATATCATGTATGATTATTACTTTAAGACTGTTGTAGTCTTGATGCGAAGAGACACATTTATGGTCAGATTTTCTAAATTTTATAGTTATAAATACACTAGTTTAAAAGATTGGCATTAGTAAGTTTCTCTCTTCTTTTTTTTTTTAAATTTGAAATTAATACTTTTATTTAGCATGGGATGCATTATATGGACCAAATGTGACAGTAAAGACAATTATAATTTGTTTCAGTTTCTGATAAATGCTGTTCTTTTAAACTTTCTATGCATTTAGAAAATGTGTCATGATTTCCACAAAAATATTAGGCAGCACAACTGTTTTCAACAATGACAATAAGAAATGTTTCTTGAGCATCGAATCAGCATATTAGAATGATTTCTGAAGGATCATGTGACACTGAAGACTGGAGACTGAAAATTCAGCTTTGTCATTACAGGAATAAATTACATTTTAAAAATATCTTAAAACAGAAAACAGTTTTTAAATTGTAATAATATTTCATCATATTAGTATTTTACTTTACCCCAAAATTTTAAAGGGGTGGTTCACTGGTTTTATTCTAGGCTTGATTGTGTTTATGGGGTGCAGTCTAACATGTGTTAATGCCTCGTTTAAAAAAAAAACGAAAAAAAAAAACGCATTCTTTTTCACATCATTTACCTTTATTCCACACCGCTCTGTCCCTTCTCTGAGAAACATGCTGATCATTTCCTGCTTTTATGAAGCCCCTCCCTCAGAAATAGGCGGTGGGCTCTGATTGGTTTGCTAGCACAGTGTGTTGTGATTGGCTAAACCGCCTCTAGTGCACGTCTAATCGTCCCGCCCCTCACCTCAGCAGCATGTGCTACAGGTGTATTGTAAACAAAGGCGTCGTTAAAGGGATAGTTCACCCAAAAATGAAAATTCTGTCATTAATTATTCACCCTCATGTCGTTTCAAACACGTAAGACCTTCGTTCATCTTGGGAACACAAATTAAGATATTTTTGATGGAATCTGAGAGCTGTCTGACCCTGCATAGACCGCAACGGAACCGTAATGTTCCCAGGTCCAGAAACATAGCAAGGAGATCTGTAAAATAATCCATGTGACATCAGTGGTACATCCGCAATTATACGAAGCTACGAGAATACTTTTTGTGCGCAAAAGAAAAAAAATAACGACTTTATTCAACAATTCGTCTCCTCTGCATCACCCTAGTGCCATTATCCACTGGATGTAAACAGCATATGCTGTTCTGTGTCAACTGCGTCACGCCAGATCTGTTTCCTACGTTGTTGTGATTTGATCTGAACAGAAACAGTGTATCCATGTGACGCAGCTGACTTGGGAACATTTCAGTTGCGTTGCTGTCTATGGAGAACGTGCACCTCTAGTTTTCTCTTCCTCTTCTTTAAAGCAGCGCAGCATGGCCTCGTCCCCTTTGCGGTCTTTTCCCGAGGGCGGGTTTATCTGGGTTTGTTAAGTCACGAACCCGGAAGTAACTTGTTGTAGTCCCTACCAGCCGTTTTTGTAGGCATTAAACTGACAGAATTTTAAAAGATGATATCTCCGTTTGCATTGAACTTTCAGCTTCGTAACTTTGCAGATATTGTTTATGCTCAAACAGCAACATTACACACTAATGTTAAAAAAGTGAAATCGCAATCAACCACCCCTTTAAATGGTAGTGTATATATTTTTAACAATTTTGTTTCTAAAGGCTCAGCCACACTTTATAAACAGAATTATAAATAATAAATATAGTGTTAAAACATATTGTTTCCTGCAACACAGCCAGCCATGCAATTTGAATTCTTTGCATTGAATCAGAAGGTCAAAGTGACATTTAGATCATCAAATGTGCTATGCAAATTTAGGTCAGATTTCACCAAATATCTAAAAAATCTAACATGCAGCATAATTAAAAGCTTGTCTTTGCGCTTTGGCTCACCCATGTTCTGAGTATATTGTACGATGAACACTTTCTATAAAAATGACAACAGTGCAAAAAAATACATTTACAGTCATAATAAAGTGTTTTTGTAAAAATGGCCAACTTTATTTTCTACATGTACAAAAGAAAGAAGGATAGCAGCTTGCTATATGGACAGCAACATTTCCAGCACTCTTCCAAGTCAAAGATGGGAAAAAATACAACTGAGATGAAAATAAAAATGTACAACATATTTAAACATGCTCAGAAAAAAAAAACCTGTAAGGAATTATAAAGGGGGGAAAACATCCTCAGTCATGCCCACTTCCACAGAGCTACTAGCTAATATAGCATCTTGCCCATGCACATTTATAAAAATATGTCACGGCTGTAAGTAGTCACTTAAAAAGTAACTACATATATCTCTGAGCATTTCTGTAATTCTCTACATTCGAACAAATAAACAGGTCAGCAGGTTTTAGGTGAGGCGATACAGCCGTATACATTTCCGTTCCAGATTATTTTTTTTGTATAATGTATTGCGTTTCACCTGAGTTCTCTTTTTGACATTCTGTGCCGTTTACATGTAGGCCTCCACTGCATTTTTGTGCTTTGGACCTCGTTCACATTGTCGTTTTGTAAAAAGAACGCTAAGCTAACACCAGCAGTGGTCATATAAACATTTGGACTCGTCTTACAGTCTTGTATGGATCTGCTGAGAGAGTCTCTCCTTTTTCGCTGTCCAAAAATGACTGGAGAACAAGATTTGCTGGGATACGCCAGGTTTGTTGGGACTTAAATATGCAATGTGGCGTTAATGATGTAAAATAATAGGCCAGAACAGGATACAATTTGAATATTCAGTGTCAGCCTGACAGGAACATATCCCATATACAACATCCCCATACAACTGAAGCTTTTCGCAACTGTGCGCACACTTTGGTGCAGGAATTTGTCGTCGTCCTCTAAAATCCACATCTTCCCTGAATACATCTTAGCTTTTTATAACGACTGAGATGCAGTATGTTTATATTCATACGCTCAGATAATTTGCTCCTCAGAAATAGTCCACAGATTCTTCATTGGTTTGCGTTTAGAGGCAGAGGCGTGATTGTACAGGCCGAACTGTTTTTATTGGCCCTCATTGTAACCAGTGAAGGAAGATTTTGATTGTCCACCAGGGGTCCTCAGAATCTACGCTTGGCTCTAAGGCCATGATGCATGGTGGGCAGCAAGCAAGCCGAGTTCAGGCTGTGCTCAAACCAAGCTAGAGGTCACGGGGTTGGAGGTGGAAGGTATTTGCTCATAAAGCAGTGGAGGTCAGTTTTTTCACTCCTCTGCGCTGAGCGAGAATAGAACAGCCCACGGGCTCCAGCATGGGAGGAACGTTCCTATTCAAGGCAGAGTATGTAGCAGCCATCGCCCCCTACAGGAGGAAAGATTTCACACAAACCTTGCTGAATTAAACTGTCTTCTGAAAAATTGTCATCTTTTTATCAAATGTAAAAAAAGAAAATTCTAGATAAATATATATATACACACATCTATCTATCTATCTATCTATCTAGATTCATAATAATTACTCATCTACTGGAAGATATCATCTATCTATCTATCTATCTATCTATATCTATCTATCTATCTATCTATCTATCGTGATTCATAATAATTACTCATCTACTGGAAGATATCATCTATCTATCTATCTATACATCTATCCATCTATCTATCATCGTCATTCATAATAATTAGTCCTTATCTACTGGAAGAAAGGAAGTAATAAATATGATATATATTAAGAATTTAAATATACTTTTAATAATATTAAAAAACTGTTAATATTATAAAAATACAGTACATTTGTTAATAATTCCTTGATATTTAAAAAAAATTCTGTGAATTTGGGAACCTTGTGTATTCTAGGAGCATTTGAAATATAAAATAAGTTTAAGAGCAAAGTAAAATATTTATGGGAATATTTTTAGATATTTAAGTTTTATTCTAAAGCATAATGTGTGGACAGGACCAAACCTTAACCAGATGGGGGGCGTCCTGTCTGTTCAGCTGGTATTTGGGGAGCTGGTCTCTGTGAAGGATCCAGGGATGTTTCAACACCTGTGCAGCTGTTAGTCTCTGATGGGGGTCTACATGCAACATCTTAGACACCAAGTCCTGTAAAAGACAAGGTGTTTGAATGATTTTTTTTGTCTGGTGGGCCTTTAAGGAGATGTTTTTTGAAGAGTGTAATTTAGATGTAGACCTTTGCCTCAAGTGAAACAGAGCTCCAGTATCCGCCTGTGAGAGAAAACTTCCCACTGCCGATTCGAGCTAGAATCTCCTCCGGTGTGTCCTCTGGGCCATTAGCAAATGGAGTAAAGCTGAGAAAAAGCCCAGTGTCAGTTGAATACAAACACATTTTCAAAACTATAGTCAGTGCTAGGTTTACATACTTACTTACCCAGTTAACATCGTGTACAAAAGGACGCCTAAACTCCAGATATCACAGGCAGCATCATAACCCTGTTTCTTCAGCACCTGGGGACCAAAATTATTTTTTTTTGATTAAGAAACTGACTTTTATTTTACAAAATCTTGTGCCACCTCCGACATGCAAAATGTACCTCTGGGGCCACAAAGTTGGCAGTGTAACAGGGCGTCATCAGCAGTCCGTTTTCCGCTCTCAGCTGCTTGGCA